GACAGGCCCACGGTACGGAAAGAGTGGGGGCCCTTCAGGGATAGTTAGTGTGGTTAAAAGGCTGGATTTGGTCTTCTGTCTGTAGTTAGCACATACAACACCTCAAAGTAACACACTGTACTAATTGGGGCTCCCCTTATGTTTGCAGGTAGGTTGTTGTACGCATGCTTCCGAGGGGAGCAAGGGCTTTGCTTATGAAACCTAAGGGGCTAGCGTGTGGACTGCTACTTGGCTGGGCTGCTTGTTATTTTGCAGAAGTATCTGATTCGAAGTCCAGAAATTGGTAACTGGAGGCACTACAGGCTACTTCTCAATATGAGGCTACAATAGACACCACACACTGCCAGGATTTTGCGCTATGGTCAGATACCTGCATTTATAGTTTTTTTTTTCTTTGAAAGATTTATTTATTTATTTGTACAGAACTGGGGTACAGGCCAGAGATGCGGAGGGTGAGAGGATTCACCAGAGACAGAGGGGAAGCAGAACAGGCAGATCGACGAAGTACACTGCTGAGGGGAGCAGCGGGCGGGTCAGGAGAGGTCTGCCGCGCCATGTGGTCACCTCCGGGGCAGGCGGGAATCGAACTCATGCGCAAGTGGCTTTAGTTTCTCAGTGCAGTGCTTTAACCCGCTGCGCCACCTGGGAGGGCCCATTTATAGTTTTTTAAGTAAGAACCTGAAGATGATTTTTGTATGTCCATTTACCCGACTGACATTATTTTAGTGAATTGATATCATCCAGTTGTAAAATCCTCTTTCTTCATTTTATTTTATTTTAAAGGTTTATTTATGTATACAAGAACTAGGGTACAGGCCAGAGGTGTGGGGGGTGAGAGGATTCACCAGAGACAGAGCAGGGAGCAGAACAGGCAGATCGACGAAGCACACTGCCACACTGCCGAGAGGAGCAACGGGAGAGATGGGAGAGGTCTGCTGCACCACGTGGGTCACCTCCCTGGACAGGGATCGAGCCCGTGCTGCAGCGGCTGTGGACAGGTTCATTGTGATACATTTTAACATGTTGCACCAAAGGGGACGACCCTCTTTCTTCATTTTCACCAAAAAGTTCATATCATTTAAAAAGTAAGTTAAAAATCTAAAATTAATAGTTTTGTGTTCCCTAACCACATTTAAAGAATGGATACCAGTCACCAAATGTATACCTGTTCCACACAGGCAGGCAAAAAATAACAGTGCTAAACATGATAGTGCTCCCACAATTGTATATTTAAATAGGACGCCATCAATTTAGGTTTATGCTTGATTATGTTTTAATTGAAATCAAATATTCCTCTTAGACTCCATTTTGATTCACTGGTGGGAAAATCAGTTTGAGTCTTTCCTGGGCTCTCTGAACCTCTGTGAGCTCAGACAAGACTCTGAGATGTGGACAGAGACCGGAGCGGGGCCTCCAGTCTCTAGGGCACATGATCACTGGAAGGGAGCAGACCGACCCCGGCACCGGTGGAAGGTGAGGCTCCTTCAGTCTGTGCCCAAATATACTACTACTTCTTTACAGAACCCTCCCCGCTCCCCCAAGGAACTTTAGATTTGGGGGGGAAAGCCAGGAAGGCAGTCTGCTTCACAGGCCTGTATCGTTGCTATTATTCATAAATGGTGACTGTTATTGGGCCTCCAGTGTTCTCTGCTCGTACAGGCGACCAGGTAACTCTCACAACTCTGCCATGTTTAACAGACCAACGATGGAGGCTGAAAGCCTCGGAGTAACTTTCCTACAATAAATGCAGGTCTGGGGTTAGAACCCAAGGCTGTTGGGCTCCAAAGGTCAACCCCTGTGGCCATTTTCTCTTCTGCTCAGGAGCGGTAGTATTTTCTCCTGAGCACGGAAAGCTCCATAATAGCATAGCACAGCGTCAGCGCCCAGTGAGTATAGTGAATTCATCCATGGACACCGGCCCTGAGACTTTCCCACCGGTTGTCAAGTGCATTTGCCAAGACTCAAGCACAACAGAGCTGCTGTGGGTGTAATTGATGTTTACACAATAACTGGTCAGCGTGTCCAGCTGCTTCTTATGGTCACTCCTGGGATATGAAAATGGGACCCTGTATCGGCATAAACAGGATGTTTGCTTTCTTTGTGCTCTCTCGGGGGGCCTTGATCTCAGTCATCTAGAAGTTATACCACATTGCTCAAATGTGGCTTCAGCAGGCCAAGGTTAGAGCTCAGCTTAGTTTTGTGTTGTTTAAAATAGAAGATTGACAGATCTGAAATCCATTTTCGCTCAATATGATTCTTGGTGATATTTTAATAGTTGTGCGAGGACATTTGAAAAGTCTCAGACCAGATTTTTAAATTGTATGACTTTGGCCCATGAATAATTCCTATTTATGGAGCCCAGAGCCTAATGTGACTGGTGAATCTATATACCACAGAGTCATAAGGCCTTACTAGCCGCCTCCCTCCCTCTTCTAGCTGGGCATGATGGTGACTCAAAAACAGGCTCTTTACTCACGAGATATTCAAACTTGCCTCAGGGGGTTGTGAATGTTGTACATATCAGACCATTCTTGAAGCTTGTCAAAAATAGAGCTGCCTGGGCCCCACTCCAGATCCACTGTCTTAGCTGTCTGAGTCTGTTTGGGCTGCTATAATAAGAAAATACAGACTGGGTAGCTCAAAAATAAGACGTTTATTTCGCACATTCTAAAGGCCAAGATCAAGGTGCAGGTATGGTTTCCTTCTGGTAAGAGCTCTCTTCTTGGTTCATAGCTGGCATCTTCTTGCTATTCCTTGCATGGTGGAAGGGTCGTAGGGAGCTCCTTGGATCTTCTTTTATAATGGCACTAATTCCTCAGAATCCAACCTCGTGGCCTAAACACCTCCCAGAGGGGGTTAGGGTTTCACCAGAAGAATCTGGGGAGAGGGGACACATTCTGATGATAACACCCACCGGATCAAAACCTAGGGGAGTGGAATCTGTGCATCTAAGGAGCATGAGACAAGCTCCTTAGGTGATTCTGATACTCAGCAAAGTTGCCAAGCCAGCCATGTGGTTGGTGGTGTTTTGATAACAACCCTACGATATTTTCTGTTTTGTATCGTAGCCTCTAGATGTTAATACAGCATCTCAGTAAACATGGGACAGACGTAGGCATATGTACATGTGTATCTAGAGACACACTGGCCTCCTATCTGCATGTATGTTGTTGAGATGTTCCTGCAGATTGATCTACAATTATTATCTGAAATCATAATAAGCATTTATCGAGCATCTGTACATAGCAGTGTTAATCCAGTCAACCTTATTAAGAGTTCACCATTGGCCATGTACTGTCCAGAAGTCTCTGTCCTCAAGGAACTTACGTTTTTGTAGCACCACACCAGCAGGAAGACAGCTTTGAACTAGACAATGATATGACGCCCCCAGTGCAGTGGGTAGAAGTCAAGTGGGGAGGGAGAACTGGCAGCCAGTGTTGGGGGCCAGGTGGCACCTTAGAATAGAGTGGTTGGGGAAGACTTGAGGGAAGAAAGCGAAAGTGAGCTCTATGGATACTGGGAGCATGAAACCATAGCAGATTTGGGGAACAGGAAGTGCAAAGGTCAAACTGAGGGGGAGCCTTCCTGGTGCCCTCAAGCAAGTGGCAAAGAGGCCTGGGGATGGGAGACAATGGTCTGGGCCATCAGAGAAATAAGAGTGGGCTGAGGTGTGGACCTTGCAGCCCCTGTCTGTGGGCTGCTGCAGGACTTTGCTTTCTCTCTGAGGGAGATGGGAAAGGTTCTGAGTCAGAATAACTACCTGAAAGGTTGTAATGTATTTTTAAGTGCTTTTTGGTCATTCATTTGCATATTTCTATATGTGGGGGCGGGGGGACTAAAGGAAATGGGGGTGGGTCACAGGCCTGGGGGTTTCGGTGGCAGGTGAGAGAAGTGTGTGCTCACATGAGGCATGAAGATGTACAATCTTGCAGGTTGTATTCTGCCAGTCACAGGCTGTTGGCGATGGGCAAGGCTGGAATGGGACTGGAAGGTGGTCAGCGCGACAGTCTGGACAGGATGGACAGCGGGCTGGGCTGGGGTGTGGCTTGCTGGCGCGCCGTGAAGGCAGAGGCAGCCCTTGCGCTGATGCCTGAATGTGGCCGAGTGAAGGGCTGAGACACGGGAGCTTTTGTGTCTGGGTGTGGTCCTGTTCTGCACTTACTGTACGTGGGTCATGATTAGGTGCCATGAAAATGATGGGCTTTTTGTTTTGAAAACATACTTGTACACTTAGAAATATTGAATTTATTGGATGTGCAGGTTGCATTAAAGAGACCACATCTTAAGAAAGTCAGGGAAATGTGAGCCCCCACAGGACGACCCTCCCCACAATATTGGTACACAGGGGCTGGGCCCACCGTGTTCTTCCTGAAACGTAGGAAGGCGGCCTTGGCCAGCAAAAAAAAAAAAACACATGCCGTCTAAGGTGATAATATTTAGTATCCCGCTGTTTCAAAGCACTTTGTATAAATCCTCCAAAAGTTCCATGCGAGGCTAGGAGTGGAGGGTATTGCTCTCCCCGCCTGAGATGTCAGGACCTGATGAGATCTAGAAAGAATGGAGACAGGGTTACTAACTGCAACCACTTAGGAAAGGAATTGGAACTGAGTATTGAAACCTTTGTAAGTCACACCCCTGGCTTCCTCTCCTCCGTTCTTTCCCTTCGGTCCGTTCACCCGGCCATTTTATTTCTGAAAGTAATTTCGCCGAAGGGTGGGCTAGGGAATTCAAAAGATGTGAGTCACGTTAGGTAGCATGGAGAATAATTTTAATAAAAGCTGCAGTGAAGAATGCAGTAGTAATTAGTATGAAAATGAAATTTGGAATTGCTGGTAGATTTCAGCTTGCTTTGCTTTCCTGATCCTTTGTTCCTGGAAAAAGAAACTTGAGTTCAATTATGCCAAATACCCAGCAAGACTGAGCATCTTTTGTCTTGCCGAAGAAGCGGTGTGACAGGGGCTGGGCCACCTGACAGCATTTAATGCATGTGCTTGTTTCAGTTTGCAGTGATGACCTCACCCACAAATTCAAAGGTTTCACTGTGATGAATGAAGCAGAGCGATACGAAGCTCTCAGACACTGTCGCTATGTTGATGAAGTCATCAGGGATGCTCCGTGGACACTGACGCCAGAGTTTCTGGAAAAACACAAGGTATTTGTTTTGTCACGTTTTCTAAGTAGCAGAATTGGGGAGTCTGCTTGTATATGCCATTCCCAGACATCCCAGACCCCTCCGGTTTCTAAGAGGGACACTGGAGTATGGTTCGCCTGCCTTTTGGCCATCTCTCCCTGCTCTTCCCCGGGCCTGGGGACTGATCTCTCACTATGTCAGCGCGGGCTGTGAAGCGAGCTCGCCCCACATCCAAGTGCATCCCGTGTCCTTCCGAGCTGTGGGACTTGAGCGAGACACGGTAAGTTCATTTACCTAAACTGTAAAATGGGGTGATAGTCATCCTCTGGTGGGGCTATTTTGAAGATCTAATGAGCTCATCGAAGTGAACCTCTGGAATGTTGGCTGGCCCATAGCGACACTCCAGAATCGTCATCGGCATCACGATCGACATGACCAAACCTGTCAATCGTCCATCATCGTGATTGGGGCTTATGGATTCCACAGGGAACAGATGCACCCACCTGGTATCCAGAAGGGCAGGATCAGCCTTTCAGGGAAAAACTTTATGGTTTTGTGGCCCTGAGACTCCCACTGATACAAGATTTATATTAGTTAAAAACATGAGAAATTCTTTTGATCTGCATCAAATTCTGTGCTTTGTGTCTCCATACCAGCCTCTCATTACACGCTATTCTTTCCTTTTATAAGCAGTACAAAAAAATAAGATTAAGCTGTTCTAAGAGTTTTCTTTTCTATTTTTAAAATCACGATGCAGAAGAGAATAGAGAACACTGATAAATGTGCATGGGTAATAGCAGAGGAGACAATTTCCCAGTGAGAATAAAAAGAAAGAGGAAAAACTACAATATGATTTACTTCCAGCAATCACTAACACATTTTTACTAAGCATCTATTGTATATTCAACTTGTGCCGGGCATTAGGGAGATACTAACGATGATAATGATGGCATCAGGGGGGACACTAACGATGATAATGATGGTGGCCACTTAGTGGGTATTGACCGTGTGCCCAGTACTGTGCTAAGTGCTTTGCTCTTATCGAAAATCATATTCAAAGTCATGGCTACTCTGAGAAGTTGTTAGTAGTATTATTGGAGAGGAGGGATTCAGTTTGAGTACTAAGAATAGAATGAATAATAATGATAATGAACATTTATGTGAGATATAAGCGTTACTATTATTTCTAGGCGCATACTTTTATCATTGAATTCATCGGTTATTAGGTTTGCTCCCAAGGGACATTTGGTAGGTCTGGAAACCTTTTCGGCTGTCACAACTCGAGGTGTGCTACTGGCATCTAGTGGGTAAAATTTAGGGGGGTTACTGAGCCTCCTACAGGCCACAGAACAGCCCCCTTTCCAAAGAAAAAATCATGCAGTTAAAAAATATCCCTAGTACCGATATTGCAGAATTCTACCACAGCTTGTTTATGAGTTCGGAGCTGGGGGGGGGGGAGGGGAGTGGGGAGTGGTCAGTGGGCCTCACACCAGGAAGTTGCTGCCCTGACTCTTGAGGTGGAGCGAAGCTTCACGATGAAGAACTTTGAAAGCTCGTTAGGGAGTCTTTTACTTGCTGTATTGAAGTATGAACTGGTGAAGAAGAATGAAAGAAAACTCTGTGGGTGGAGCGACACCCCATCCCCATGGATCCCCATGGGAGGGATGGCTTGGACAGAGGCCTACAGAGACCAAAGTCAGATGCAAGTTGGTATCCGTCATTTAGATGACAGCGGCCTGTGTTGGGCGTATCAGTCACGGAGAGGCCGGGGATCGAATGCGTGCTGCTGTGCGTGCGGATAGCTTCTTAGTGCGGAGACTTTAACCACTGTGCCACCGGCTGCTTTATTTTTATTATTTTTTTAAGATTTATTTATTTGTGCCTACAGAACTGGGGTACAGGCCAGAGGTGCAGGGGTAGTGAGAGGATTCACCAGAGACAGAGTGGGGAGCAGAACAGGCCGACTGACGAAGTACACTGCTGAGGAGGGGAGCGGGGGGCGGGTCAGGACAGGTCTGCCGCGCCATGTGGGTCACCTCCGGGGCGGTGATCGCACTCACGCGGAAGTGGCTTTAGCTTCATAGTGCTCTGCTTTAACCCCGCTGCGCCACCAGGGAGGGCCAAAGCCGCTTTATTTTTAAAGGCATTTCCAAATCGCAGACATGCACATCCATCCCAGTGGTGACCTGAGTCTTCTCTCTTTTCCACTAGATCGACTTCGTGGCTCACGATGACATCCCTTATTCTTCAGCTGGCTCTGATGATGTGTACAAGCATATAAAGGAAGCAGGTGAGGAGCTGGGCTGTGCTTGCCTGTGCACGGTGGTACAATAATCAAGTCTGATGAGGGACATCTTCCCAAAGCCTGCAGCCTGCACATCCAGGGGCTGGAACTTCAGATGTCTCCCAAGGAGCCTGCGCAAACTTCTGCTGACCTGGGCAAAGACTCAGTCCTGGGCCAGACTCGCATCAGATATTTATTTCGGAAAAAAACTGGAGCACCAAAGTACTCAGCTTCTGATTTCAGGCTTGATTTTAGGGTTCATCAGACAAAAATCACAAGACCCTATTGTTTAAAGGACAGTCATTTCCTCATTCACAATGCAATTAGTTGATATTCCCAACAAAGATCCTTCTAGAAGACAACTGGCTTACTAATGCTCCTGACTCTGGCACCCAAGTCTGTCCTATCATATGTTACATGTCATCCTGTGATGTGACAATATCCACAGATAGCGCATGCCAAGGCCAAAAAAATGGGGATGATAAATATTTGTGGAATCAGGTAAAATGTTTTCTTTCTGGAACTGTTAAGTGTTGTCATAGAAAGCAGACGTGATGTCTGCACTTTGGAAACTGTCTCTGTGGTCACTACGTGTTCCTGTTAAGGTCAGAGACTGGCCAGCCCCAGGGAGCTGTTGCGGGCCTGGAAAGAGGGCTGTCTTTCCACTACAGGCTCCCTGGAGGTAAATCATGTATCTTGTTCTCTGTTCTTAGTCCTGCGCTGCTGATATCACCAGGGAGCTGGCGGCTGGGGCGTGACCGCACCTGACCTGCGGTTTCTGGTCCCTCCGGGACTCCTTTCACCTGCTCCTCTCTCACTCCTGCCCTGATTTACCCACAGTTATTTGCATCCTTACCTCCTCTCTTGAGTCATGAGGATGAGGGGTTTTCTGGCCACCTAGTCTCAGTCTGAACCTACCTTCTAGAGTCTGTATTGATTTTTCTTTCTCTTTGCTACCCAAGGTTCTCACTCTCCAGGAGTTTGTTCTTAACTGACGAACATGTATGTGCAAGTATATAAACACGGAAAGGATCCTTCCTTCCGCCCTCCGGTCACGTCCTCGCTCAGTATCCCTCCCTCCCTGGCATTGCTCAGCCACCTGCACTCTTACCTCGGTCCTGTCCTCCCTCAGATCTCTGCTGACCCACGAAATGCCGAAATCAGTGGCCTCCTTTCAGCCTCCCGGCACACTCGCTCTGCTACCCCGTCTTTCTTAGACACTCTTGTCCTCCGTTTCTGGGACACTTCTGAGACCGTTTAACTTCCTTTCAGTCTCTTTGAATGATCCTGAGTTTTGTTGATAGGCTTTCCTCCCGTGGCCATGTCCGGCCTCTCGATCTTGCCGGCCATAGCTCTGTACCGCCTTCCACAGGCCACCTGATTTCTTCCTCAATTCCAGGCACCTGAGTTTATCGGTTCCCAGACATGAGCCCACTTAGTTAGTGCCTTTGCTCTTGGTATTCTCTGGGCTTACAGTGCCTTCCTTCCTTCCTTCCTTCCTTCCTTCCTTCCTTCCTTCCTTCCTTCCTTCCTTCCTTCCTTCCTTATTTATTTGTGCATACAGAACCGGGGTACAGGCCAGAGGCATTGAGAGGATTCACCAGAGACAGAATGGGGAGCAGAACAGGCAGACTGACAGAAATACACTGCTGAGGGAGGTAGTGGGCAAGATAGGAGAGGTCTGCTGCGCCATGTGGGTCACCTCCGGGGTGGGGATTGAACTCATGCTGAAGTGGCTGCTAATAACATCATAGTGCTGCGCTGTGACCCGTTGTTCAACCAGGGAGGGCCCTACAGTGACTTTCTTTGAGCTTCCATGCCAGTTCCGGGCCCACCTGAAGAATAGGCCCTCACCCTTCGGCCATCATTGAGCATTCCACTCTACTCCCACCTTCCTCAGACACTTTGTACGGGGCCCTGTTAGCGTCCTTTTTCTTGGCATCCCAAGTGGGTGTGTGTCTCTAGCTGGAGGGGCTGAGACACAGCCGTTTCTCGTCTGTCTTTGTACCTCCAGCGTCGTCTCTGGTACATGTTCGGTGGTTGCTAGATGCTGGCTGAATGCGGGTGCTCTTCCAGGGTAGGAAGGGGAGTTATGTTGACATGGGAGCCTTTTGCCAGCGAGGGCTCTTCCCCACACATGGGGAGTGGAGGCGTTTACTTGGGTGATGTGTGCATATGCTTCTGTCTTCTGGAATGTTTCACATTATTTAGTTGTAAGAGGTGATGTTTTGCCCTAAGTCACACAGACCGTTGGACTCACTTTGTTTGCTTTCCACTGGCATCTTGGCTCTGAGTCCCTCACACCTTTGTGCGGAGGAGAAGGTAGCTGCACGCTGAGTTACACCACACCGCCACTACCTCACAGCCCTAGACGATTCGGGGAGACCCGCAAGGGCTTGCCTCCAATCTGCCTGTGGTCTGAACGAAATACTTTAAAACTATATCGATGCATTTGCATTTATTCTTCTCTATAACAGGCGAAAGAAGATGTCACAAAAAATGGGTGCGCTTTTGAGCAAATGAATAATGGGAAACTAGTTCTCAATGTCAATATGTTTCAAATCACCCAAGATTTAAAACAATCGTTGGTGGGATTTTTGAAATTTCCCACCTCGTCAGGTTTTCATCCCTGTAGAGTACTTCAAAAGAAAAAGTGGGGGAAAGGTAGTTAGTTCCTTGCCCTGAGAGGGTCAGGGGGTGTTTCAGCCCCTAATAACGGAGCTGCCCAATAAGGAGGATGGGGTGGTAGAACAACCTGAAATGCTAACCCTCTCTCTGCCGCTTCATTCGGCAGACCGCCTCCCACAGACGTCCACCAACACATTGCCACGTGAGAATCTTGGAACAGGGAGAGTTTGGGAAAGGGACGGACCAGAGTTAGTATTTTAGCAAAAGGTGCAGATGTCAATTTTCAGTGGCTTGGTTTATTTTGTGCTATTTTTGTTTCTACCACACATTCCGTGTGGTGGCATTGGGCTGCGTCCACATACACCTTCCCGCAGGTGGGCAGCCCCTGTGTGGCTCAGCACAGGTATTCTTGTACCGCCATGTGCTTTCCTCAGGGATCTCGAGAAGTCTGATGTAGCTCTCATTCGTCTCGGAGCTGTTACTGGTGTCAGTCAACTCCCCACATTTCCTGGGGTTGCAGGAACCCCATACGTGTCGCTTCCACCACACCCCACCACTGCACAGCTGGCAATACAGAGCTTTTTGTGGTGTCCCTGGACCTTTAGGCTCCTGGCTTTTTTCTCCTGGGGTCACCTAAGTTCCTGGGAGCTGTATATTGGCCTGGCATGGGCCGGGATGTGGTTATTGATGCTCATTTTGTTGTATGATGTCAAGGCCTGCTCAGCCATCACCTCTAGTGACCAGCCCCCCAACCCTCTGGTACTCAACCACTGCCCCCTTTGGCCTGTCCTGCCATCGCCCCTGCGCTCAGACGTGCCACCTAGCACTGCTGCTGCTCTGACCCCTCAGCTGCCTTCTGTGTTCCTTGAGAGAGGCCCTGGGAGCTCTGAAGATGTGCCCCACAACCTCGGAAGCATGGCAGTGGGAGGGAGCCATGTGAGGCCCTGTGACTGGCCTGCCCCAAGGAAGGCTAACACAGGCTTCCCCATGTTGGTGCCAGGACCGCTGTGAGACCGTCTCCTCCCAGAATTCCTGGAGGTAACCAGGGTGACAGCCCCTCTGTTGTGGGCTTTCTTAGGCCGTCTCCTCCCTGCGCCCGGCCCCGGGCTTTGACCCTGAGTGGGGTCAGGGGCCGGGCCGTGCTCCCGTTCTCTTGCTTCTTTCTGCCGCCCACCTCCTGCTCCCGCTTGTTTCTTTCCCTCCGTCCCAGAGGGGCTCTTCTTCCTGGAGGACAGGCAGCTGCCCCGGTGTTAACTCCACATCTGTCCCACTTTAGGGCTGACAACAAAACCTCCGTGCTGAGTCCACACGGGAGCTGGCTCTTAATAAGTCAAAGAACACTTGTAGGATTTCGATAGCTCTTTGTGCTCCTCAAAGCCTGAGTCCCTGAAGCAAAAGCCTTATTTTTCATAACTATTCTTTTTGAAATGAGTCTTCCAAAGAGCCTATTTTAGCAGGCAAGAGCTAAACACAGTCCCCTGTATTCTCACCCGCATCCACCGTCCTTTGAGGCGAAGTGTCAGTGTCAGTGCGAATAGGGCCTCGTGCCCAGAAAGGAAAACGACACGGGATCATATTTTAGAAAGTGACACTTCTACCTGTAAGTACTCAGTCCCCTGGATGGCGTTTTGTTGCTTTCCACCCTTTGGGGCCAGCCGCAGAAGCTCCATGTCGTCCCCAGCGGGACCGTCGGTCGGGACCGTGTTGCGGACCAAACCCAAAACTTAACTGAGTACAGAAGAAAGATTTCGGCTCCTTGGTTCATGAAGCAGGCAGCGCCCAATGTAATAGGTAGGGAGGAATTCAAAGCGCCGCGCCAAGTGGAAGGCTCTGATAGGCAGAGCAGGGCAGGCCAGGGAAGTTTCTAGTACAGAGTGGGTTGTTTCTGGCAAGGTCGCCTTCCTCGGTGGGTATAACAGGGATCTGGGACACAAATACTCTCATGACCGTCGAGCAGTTTATTCCAGATGGACTGTTTTAGATCCCATTCCTGGGAAACTGAAACTGCCATTAGTTTAGGTATGTAATCCCAGTGTGGAGACGTTGGGCCTAGCACGAGTGACGGCATTTTCAGCCCGTTCTCTCTCTTTTAGGTACCGTATTCTTAGAAAGGGGTTCCCCCTCAGTGGGCGGGGAAGTCGGTAAGAGTTGGAGACCTGACATTTTCAAATCCCAATCTCGTCTGTAAGACAACCTCATACACTTCCCACTCGGAAGGCTGCCGACGAGCGCCGTGAGGGAGGAGGGAGGCATGGGAGGGGAGCGAGAGGCAGGGGTCAGAGCGCCTGTTGTATCAGCTTCCTGGAGATAGGTTCCACGGCGTGGGGCGATTAGCTACCTCTTCCATTCTTTGCAGATCTGACACTCCTTGCCTAACGGTGCCCAGACAGACGGACGGGCCGTAGACCAGGGCTTGTCAAGTGTCACTGCCTGCAGATGCCTGAGGACCTTTTTAGGGTGCAGATTTGGATTCGGTAGGCCTGGTGGAAGCTACACCCCCATTTCTAATGAGGTCCCAGGTCGTTATATGTTGCAAGTCCGTAGACGTCATTTAGAGGAAGGATCTGATTCACCCAGAGTCACCCCCAGAATTCACGGAGGCAGCATTGTCTGGGTGGGCATTTCCTCGGCTTCCTAGCTGAGTAGGAAGAAGCTTTTGGTGGTGGGTTTATTTCTGGGTGAGTGACTTCTAGGAAGCTAAGAAAAAGCTGCTTTCCTGACTCGAGGGAGTAAAACCCTCCAGTGCCAGGTGTTGAGGTGTCGGCACAGGTCCAGTGTTGTTCTAATTCTAAGCACCTCAGCACCCTGTTACCGCCTAACAGATTTTCCCCACAGTTGGTGACATAAAAAATGTCACTTTATTGTACTCATGTTTTGGGGGGCAAGATGTGAGGAAGGCATAGGTTGGGTGGTTTTGAGAGATGCTTGCTTGGGGGTCTCTCCACATGGGTGTAATTAGCTGTTGTTGGGGCTGCAGTCTTGTGGAGGTTCACCTGGGCTGGAGGTTCCACGTGGTGCACTTATGTGATCGGCAGTGGCCACTGGCTGTCAGCAGGGGGCAGTGTTGTGCTTGTCACTGGGGTCCACGGGGCCTGGCCACGTGGCGTGGGCTTCCTAGCGTGGCAATTGGGGCCCGAGAGTGTTGTCCTAAGGAGCAGCCAGAGAGCGTCAGCCTTGGCGAAAGTCACAAGGCTGCCTCTGACCTCATCTTGGAAGTCAGGCGGCATCACACGATATTCTGTTTGCTACTGGCAAGTCACCGAGGCCGACCGAGATTCAAGGGGATGGGAGTGGCTCCCATCTTTAATTCTCACAGCTCTCCTCTGTAAGCTGATGAGTAGTCAGGTGGTCTTCCCATCTGCTCTGGCGATACAGACATGAGACTACTGTGACCTTTGTCATGCACGGAGTCCCTTTTGTGTGGCCTTGTGGGTCTGTTCTGATTCCTCACCAAGGGAGAGCCACGGTGGAGGTTCGTTTGGTGGCCAGGTGGAGAAGGTCAGGGCATTCCTGTGGGAGAAAGATGTGCAGAAGTAGTAGTCTGAGCCGTATTTGGCTTTTAGACTCTCACTAAGGTTTATTTTGAAGTTAAAAAAAAAAATCACTTCAAATGAAGCCAGAGTTAGCAAGGGTATGAATTGAGCTGTATAGCATTCTGCTCATCAGAAGTATATGTCAGAATTCTCCAGCAAAACTGGGTGAAAAGATGGAGCTTAAATGAAACAGACGGTTCACATTACTCATCATCATTCTAATATTGCCCACTACTGTTGAAAGTTTCCCTCATTAACATGTGCTTTGCTACTTCTTAAAATAGCTCCATAACCAAACGCCACAATTCTGAAAAGGATGAGAAAAAAGGTTCTCTGATCATGCTCATTAAGGAATATTTTTAGCAGAGCAATAATTAGGATTTGGAGGAAGCCGGGTGCCTCATTATGTCAGTGGAGGGCTTGGCTTCATTCAGAGACCCACCTCCCAGGCAGCCAAAGCAAATCGCTCCCAGACCCCAGCTCATTTATTCAGTCACGGAGACTGCACACTGTGACTTCAAGGAAAGGGCGAGCTCATGTCATCCATTTCAAAATGACTTGCTAAAATCTGATAGTAGCTAGCGAGTCTTGTAAACATTTCAGCAGTCAAGGGTGTGGGTGAAATAGCTGCCTGCTGAAAGGTGGGGTAGAGTATTTTCCAGAAAGCTCCCTGCGGCCACGTTGTCTCAGGCGCCCAGACTGGGGGCCACTCGGGGTTCGCTGTCCACCGGAGCCCCAGAGCAGCTGGCTCTGTGAGTGTTATCTGTAGCCACAGCTCAGCTGCCTGTTCCCCCATTTCCATGTGTCCCCTGTGTTTGATTTCTACCTTCTGAGCATGTGATGGCAAAAGCTTTTGTCCACTGGTAAACACCCCAACTCTGTCCTGTGAGCCTGAGAACATTAGAAAGCGGACGCTTTGTGTCTAACAGCAGCGCCCCGCCCCCACCCCCACCCCCGCTGGGCTAATACCGTGCATGTGCAGATGCCATCCAAAGAGCTCCATCGGGATGGCCGAGGAGGGGCCAACCGAGCAAAAAGGTCACTGTTGCCAAGAGTATGCGGGTGAAGTGGATCTGGAGGGCCCTTGGGGATCGATATCCATCCACTCATTCATGCAACAACTATCTCCAGAGCTCCTGTAGTCAGCTGGTGCTCAGAATAGGGAGAGTGGGGCAGGTGGAGTCCTTGACCTCTACCTCGTACAGCTGGATCAAGGCAGGGCTGGCTGGTGGCACAGTGAGAACAGCGCCCCCTGCAGTTGTGCAGCACAGGGGCTCTTGGCTTAGGGAGCGAAGCCTCAGGTCCTCCTGCCGAGGACCTCAGATGGGAATGGACTGGACCACAGGGTAGCAATCGCGTACGCTGCTGCAGGGCCAAGGTAGGGATCGGAATGTAAATAGAGAGACGCTAAACAGCCACCGAGGGATGCTGCGCAGGCTTGAACTCGGAAACACTGCTGCGTGCGTCTTGCGATGTGGACAGTGAACTGAGGGACAAAGACCACAGGAGACTGGTTTGAGGTTCTTGCTGTAATGATGGTATAGGATGGTGTTTTGCTGGCTTAGGCAGAGGATAGGGAAAGGTAGCTGGATTGGGCAGATATGCAGGACGTAGATTGGTGAGTAGAAGGAAATTGAGCATGGGGAGTGAGGGAGAGGGAAGTAGCACTTGTCAGTCCCAGACCATCGTGCCCAGCCATGTCATTTCTCAGCCCGGGAGACTTAAATTTAAATACGGCGCCTCTGAGGTTGGCATGACTTGCCCGAGTCTGCAGACTGAGAAGGCAGCACCCTTGTCTGCAGGCCGTGTCCATCGTGCCGTCCCAGGCCCGGTGTCTCCCACCGAGGCCCATATCTCCATCCTCTTCTGGGCGGGAAGACCCTAAGTGGATCGGGAATCGGGGGTGTGTGTACACAGTGGAATACTAGTCGGCTGTCCAAAAAGATGAGTTGCCAATTGCGGCGACACGGATGAACGGAGCGGATGATGCCGAGTGCAGTAAGTCAGAACGAGAAAGACGAGCACCGTGCGTCACTTACGTGGAATATAGGGGGACCCAAGAAAGGGTCAGAGAAAGCCAAAGTAACAGCAAACCCTAAAAGCGGACTATAGGTCTGAGACGACAGAGGGGGAGTGCAGGGAGGATGGGCGGGAACACAGTGGGAAGGAAGGAGGAAGGACTCTGGGAATGGACTGCGGGTGCTTGCGTGGGGGTGGAGTAGTGAGAACACCTGAAGGGGGAGATCTTGTACCTCCAAAACACAAATAGGGATGTGAAACCAAATATTGACAGGAATGAAGAAAAATCTCAGCAGCCCAGACCTTACAGGGTCAATTCCGTTCTCCATGGAAGTACGTGCACGAATGAGATTCTTGTGTCTCATAACATTCGTGATCTCTTTGTCTCGGTGCACGCAAATCTATTTTTAAGGACTTTAAAGGAAGTTCTATTATATCTTGGTATCCTTTGTACTTGTTTATTTTTACTTCGTCCCACGGACTGCAGATGAAAGGGTCTTTGGCGAACCTACCATCCAGAGAAGATTGCTCTTAAGGAGATAAAATCATCCGGCACCCCACAGGCATTTCTTTTGATCAGAGACCGCAAAAAATGGTTCACTTTCTTCTTTCTCTCAGTACGATGTGATGCAGACGTCCTGGGGAAAGAAGGGGAGCTGCCGGAACCCAGCTCATTCATTGACTCAGTTTCCATTTACATCCCCTGTTGATTTGCACGCACTGCACAATTGGCACGTGTGTGAGACACGGGAGAACCGAGCTGGTCCTCGGGATGCTTCCAGAGAAAGTGCCCTTTCTGCGAGAAGGCAGCTATTTTAAATACTGTCAGTAATGAGAGACAAGTTTTGTTCCTGAGTGTTGTGGGCGCCACTGGGTGATGTTAGCAAAGACTTCCCAGATGCATTCTCCGGAAGCGGGACCTGTCAGGAGGGGTAGGCGGGGCAGAGAGGAAGGGTTTGGCATGAGCAACTGCCAGGGACAGGGCGAATGTGTGGTGCACACAGGGAAGAAACAGGGATGAACACACAGCAGTCACGGCAGGGGGAACTCTCCAGAACCTAATTTGCAAGAGTCAGCTGGGGCCAAATGTGAAAACTTCCCCGACGCGGCCAGCAACCGCAAAGTGGAAAGGAGGGACATCCAGGAAGATGCCTCGACCACGGCCATCTTGGCTTGTCCTCCGTTAACTCTCCTCTCTTCTTTCGACAGGGATGTTCGTTCCAACTCAAAGAACAGAAGGCATTTCAACATCTGATATCATTACCAGAATTGTCCGTGACTATGATGTTTATGCGCGGCGTAACCTCCAGAGAGGGTACACAGCCAAGGAGCTGAATGTCAGCTTCATAAACGTAAGAGCCGCCCGCCGCCTCCCCCCTCACCCGACCCCGCCACGGCCACCACGACCGGCCACTGTCACTGCTTCTTGAGTGCTTACTGTATGCCAGGCGGTGTCTGTGTACCGTACAGTCAGCTTTTCATTCGGTCCTTGTAATGACCCCGGGATGTCTCAGTACGTGTAAAGGGGTGATCTGATCTAAGCACGACGCACGGGTAGCGAGCTTCCTGTTTCACTCGGCAGCTGCTTTCTTTCCTCTCCTCACCCCAAGCTCTCTCTCTCCGGTTCTTGGGTTTGGGCAAAGGGTTTCTGGAAGATCTGTCTTCGTGAAAGACAAGAGTTCTCTTGTACTCAGAGGGAGGGAGGGAGGGCAGAGGTAATGAAAAGCTAAGCCCTGAGAAATGCTTTCTTGTGTTAACATTTTAAACTTTCATTATACTGAGGCCTTACAGATGCTCATTAGAAACCTTAACAGCTGCTTCTTATTGTCCAGAGAAATTACAGCTGCTTAAATAAAGCCCCGTCTTTGGCTTCCTTTTGTATTGCTACCATATTGTTCCCACAGGGCTGCCGTTAGTTTAATAATGGAGCAACTCTTAAAACAATCTTTAAAGCAAGCAAAACAAGCTGGTAAAAGGAAGAGGGCAGGCCAGTTGCTTCAGGTGATGGGAGTGAGTCTGGGCAACTATATTTACCTGGTCCTGGAGGAGCTGAGCATGTTGATTACAGCCAGAACTCTTCATATCCGTAGGACTTCTACCCTGGCACCACCCTTCCCCCACCCCCCAGGCGATGGTGGATTTTCAAAGGGTGACATTTTGGGCCAAAGTAGATATTTATAATTACGTGCACGCACAGTCATCTGTTAGCATACGCCAGGAGTCATTGGCACCTTCAAAAGGAGAGGGGTTCGCTCAGTGCAAATCGGCGGTTTTCAGTCATCCTCACGAGGTAGGCGTGCCGAGCGTCCAGCTCTCTCCAAGCAGAGCGACAGAAATGGGAACTGTCTGGCTCAAGTGGCACCAGAGCGAGTGGCTGAAAAGAATTCAAAGTGATTGTTTGGGCTCTTCTGGAAAATAGAGCTCTGCTTATTTCAATAAATTAAACTGTCTGCTCTTTTAAATTGAATTCAGTCAACCCTCCAAGCATGTCGAGTCCTTCCCAAAAGTCATCGCTCACGCTCTCGGCAGCCGTTAGATCAGCCCCTTAGCTCGGGCACTGTGTCGTCAGTGTGGCTGCGCTCGTGGTGGCACATCTTGGTCTTGGGAAGTCGCAACAGCCTGATCCTTCAGGTTGGGAACCAACACCAGTTGAAATACAAATGCGACGATTAATGGGAATTGATGATCTCTCAATGTGCCTTCTCACATGAGTTCATTTGTCTCCTTTGGTTTTTGTCCAGGAGAAGAAGTATCGCTTCCAAAACCAGGTGGACAAGATGAAGGAAAAGGTCAAGAATGTGGAGGAAAGATCAAAGGAATTTGTTAACAGAGTGGAAGAAAAGAGTCACGATCTAATTCAAAAATGGGAAGAAAAGTCGCGGGAATTCATCGGCAACTTTCTAGAACTCTTTGGACCCGATGGAGCTTGGGTAGGTAATCGTTTCATTTGGCCCTGTGGTGACAGACGTTTTGAGTTTATTCTCCCTCCAATGGAAATAAGGGAGTCCCTCTGTTTGTTGTGTCAGTCCAGCGTGTGGCCTTGGCTTTGGCTATCCGTCCACGGTCACGCATTTCCTCAGTTTCTGCTTTGCCCTTCAATATGGCCCCAGGAGTTCCTGAAGCCAGCGTTGTCTTCTAGGTTATTTGTGTAGAAGATGAAGTCATTTGAATCATTGAATGTCTGTTACTATAGAGGTTGGTTCCGTAGAGAATTCAGGTGTGCCACTAGGAGGTGCCGCAAAGCTTGGAGGGAAGGGTGATGCGTGTCAATGGCAGCCTGGCACCTGAGGAAGCAAAGGAAACGTCAGCTTTTGTCATCAGGAAGCCCTCCTCCTTCATTGGTTGGAAGAGTGAGAAAACGTAGGATTTAGCTCTGCAGTTGTTCCCATCAAGGCCTGGTTTTTGTTTTTCCACGGCATGTAAACCTTGGGATAACGGTACAAACGTCTCAGGGGCTGAGGCTGTGATGTGAATCTCAAAACAGAAAATGTCGATGTGCTTTCTCCTAAGTTCTACCGACCACAAAAGGGTAACTGGGGAAAGGGAAAAGAAAAATCTGGACACCACTTTAAACTCCATTGGTATTTCTATTGTATGTACACTTCCAGACTGAGTAACCAGTATTGTCAGCAGAATTTATGTGGGTTCTGTGAAAGAGACTTTTAAAATTAACTTTTCCGTTTAAAACAAAGAAAGTATTACATTTGATTTCTCTGATTTTAAGTAGCCTAAATTTCCTATTATGACATGAGAAGTCTCTAACAAATTTCACTTCGGCTTAATTATTTTATTGATGGGTTGTCACTGCTGCCTCTCTGCTCATTTGAGCTAGTTCATTATAGGATTATCTGAAAGGAAAACAGTCAGTTAGTAGTAGAAAAAGAAGTGTGAGAAATTGGAAATGGTTTGCCCAATGCCTGGCAGCCTCTAGGTGATTATAGAGCTGGGGGCTGTCAGCCTACTACGTGCCATTGGCAGGTCAGAAAGGGTGGAGGGCTCCAAGGGGCTGCTTGCGCCTTCCACGAGTTCTAGAAAGGGCTAGCCGGGGAGAAGAGTCCAGGACTGGGTTTCTTTCATGGTCCCTGGGGCCTGCCACAATTCACTTCATGGGGTGTTTATTAGTGTTACCTAGGCACAGCACGAGGGAAGATGGAGTGCGGACCCTGGTCTTTGCGGTCCAGTCTGATAGCTTCCATCAGTCTAGTGTGTTCTTTCAGTTTCTGTTTTCACAACCAATTTTCAGGTTCTGAAGAAACAGCTAGTGGATTTTAGCTGCTGTTTTCTGAATGTCTCTGGGTATTCATTTGCCTACAAGGCTTCAGAAATGTCTTTGCCGAGGAGACCTGGTATTGTAACTGGAGGGGTGGGTTTCTCCATGTGGAGCGAGTAAAGGCAGAGGCTTTGCACACCGTTGTCGTCTCAGGCTCCCGGTGAAGGTGAAATAGTAGCTCGAATTGTTCTGGGGGGAAATCTGGTGACAGCAAGCTGAGGTGATTTTTAAGAAATGAAACCCAGCACAGAGACGAGAGGTTTTTTTCCTTTTTAAAACTTGCTATTAGTGTCAAAACTGTTATTAACATTAATTTACCGTATCAGCCAGACTTAGACATTACTTTTTTTTTCTGTTGACATTAAAAGTACAGGAATAGTTACAAGGATGTTAAATGCCAGGATAAGTAATTTGCTTTTCATGAATATGCTATTACAATAATTCTTTATTTGTGGATTGGGGACTGAAACTCACTTCTTAAAATAGAGGATCTGCCTTACCTGCAAATACAGTATCGACGCAAGTAACCTGGCTGGGAAAGACAAGATGGGCTGTAAGGTAGAAAACGTGCTAC